ATTCTCTGTCATCAAGCAGGGCTTTGGCTTTCTCGTCGTAGTCTTCGCGATTGATGACAACCGTTGAGCGTCCCTTGTCCGTCCTCAGTTCTTTAATAGCTTTCGCTTCATTCCTCGACACACATTGGGCTGGTCGGTGTGTCATCAGTAAGGAGGTTACCCGTTTTCAAACAGAATATTTCTCATCATCTATTGTTTCCGTTCTCACAGGCATAGTTTCTACGGCTGCAATGAAGTCGACAGAATCGGCACCGACGGTGTTAAAACACGCTTCATGCTGGAGCACTCGTAGTTGCCGTTCAGTTAGTTGCTTTGAGGAGATGTTATGTACCAAGTTTGAGCTTCCTGTGTCTGGTGGTTGTAGCTTTTTCAGCTCCCGGTCCAAGATAGCTCCCTTCTTGGCTTGTCTAAGATGCGCCAGCCCAGCGTTTGTCTGAGCAATGTCTTCAGTGATGGGAAGGCAAGGTTGAACAGTGGTTACTGTGAATTCTATGTCCCTTCAAGAGGCCCTCTATCATCTCAAGCAATCCTTCGCAAAGACTGTTGCCAATTACAGTAGCTGTGTCACCTCATGAAGTTGCAACCGGGATTCGAGCCAGTGGCGTATGTGTCCGTGAGCGCGGTCTCACGGGAAAACGGGACATATTTGCAGATAATCAGAAAATGGCGTACATTGATTGGCTTCGAGAGGATAGGATCAAGACAAGTGCGACTGTCACCCGACCGTGAGACGGACAGCGTGGGTGGCTTTTACAGCGGATTGAACAAGAGCTTGCGGGGCAGACTGTCACGCGTGACTGCAAGACTTAGCAGACGAGTCAGTTCAGCGATGCTGATCCCGGACGGCCGCAGGCGCACTGGTAGAGTCTCGACTTCATGGACTACTAATCCGCCAGTTGAAACTTGTGCGCATGCTATTTTACACGCATTGATGCGTTTTTGCTTACGTGTGCTCAGTTGCCTATCTTCGCTTGGGATAGAGCCAGGCCAGTTTTATACCCGAAACGGTGACTGTCTCCGTGCTCAGCGAATTATATGTATATCTCAGCCAGTCATTCGTAGAAATTGTTGTATGGCTACGTAGTCAGCCACGGTAGCTGTGCTGCCTCATGAAATGGCAATCGAGTCTCCGGAACGGGTTTTCGATTGGAACATTTTGGCGAGCGCATGTATGTAGGAAAGTGTGCCCTGACCTCGGGCGAGGTCATTTAGGGACATTTTCTAGTAGTGCCACTAACCCCATCTAGAATTAAGGTTAACGAGTGCAGAAGTTAGAAGATTGTGGAATTTGCCCTACTTAAATTTCTAAGCAAGCAATTATTCCCGTGGTTAATTTGAAAAACCATTTTTGCTTAGTATACTGACTTTAGCGGTTATCGTATGCGGTTGCCTTCCGATGAGCCCTCTGTAGTCCAATGCCATCATTCAATCCATGCTGGGTCGACGGCCGGCGTGCAGAAACCTGGAAG